GTTCTTTCCAAATAAAAAGCTGGTGCCCTCCTGACATCTAACGTGTGTAAGGCCTGTTCTTTCCCTTCCGTGTGCAGCTTTGGGTAGAACACCAGAAGGTAGATTTCCTGGGACATGTGAAAGAGGGAAAACCACATTGGGCAGGAAGGTTGGATGTGGCCGCAGGGTCACAGTCCTAGCCTCGAGAAGGTCCACCTGGCTAGATCTATGAACTGGGAGACCTGTTCCTGTGACCTCCCTCTGATAAGCCAATCGTCCAGGCAGAGGTAGACATGGACCCAATTCCTTCTCAGGAAAGCCGCCACCACAGCCATGCACTTTGTAAACACCCTGGGTGCGGTGGACAGACCAAAGGGTAGCACAGCAAACTGGTAGTAGTGGGACCCCACAAGAAACCTCAGGAATCTCCTGTGGTGGAGGGAAATGGAAATATGCATCCCATAGGTCGAGGGCAGCATACCAGTCTCCCAGATCAAATGAGGGGATGATGGAGGCCAACGTTACCATCCTGAACCTTGATTTTTTTTCTGAAGGTGTTGGGTCCTCTGAGGTCCAGAATGGGGCAAAGGACCCCCTTGGACTTCGGGACGAGGAAGTAATGGGAATAAAATCCCTTGCCTCTGAAACCCAGAGGAACCTCTTACACTTTCCCCAGGGAAAGGAGTGCAGAAACTTCCTGCTGGAGGAGGAGCTTGTGAGAAGGGTCCCTGAAAAGGGACAGAGAAGGGGGGTGGGAGGAAGGGACAGGAAAGGGATAGTTGCCACCACCTCGAAGACCCAACGGTCTGACGTAATGGTACACCAGGCCTGGTGGAAAAGAGAACAGTCTGTCCGAAAAGGGTCAATCTATACTGTGGGCTGGTGTGTCGTCCTCGAGTACACCATCCAACACCCTTACTGTATGGCCCCTGATTGTGGTCCGAGCCCGAACGAGAACGCATCCTCGTATTTCGGGTGAAACCACCCCTGGTGCTGCGCCTGCTGTGGAACCTGGCACCCTGACCACAGCTGCTCTGCCCCCGGGAACTCAAAGGGAGGCGGTGGTGGGGCGCCAGGGTGTGCAAGCCCAAAGATTTCAGGGTCGCCCTGGAGTCCTTCAGGCTATGGAGCCTGCTATCTGTTTGCTCCAGAAAAAGGCCAGTCTCCTCCAAGGGAAGGTCCTCCAAGGTCGTCTGCACCTCTGGGAGGATTCCAGACATCTGAAGCCAAGAGTTCTGGTGCATGACAATACTGGTAGCCATGATCTGGGCAGCAGTGTCAACCGCATCGAGAGTGGCCTGAAGGGCCGATCTGGAGACCACCTTGCCCTCTTCAGTAACGGCCGCAAACCCTTGCTGCGAGCCTTTGGGCAACCTGGCCTTGAACTTATCGGCCACTACCTAGGTGTTGAAGGCATACCTACTGAGCATAACCTGCTGATTGGCTATCCTCAGATGTAAGCCGGCCATCACATACACCTTCCGGCCCAGGAGGTCAAGCTTTTTGGGCTCCTTGCTCTTGGGTATGGGGCCCATCTGCCCCTGCCCCTCCCTCTGGCAGGCTGCCAGCACCACTGCTGCTCCGGGCTCCCGCTCAGGGATGTGAGAATAAATGTTTATGGCCTGCCTGAGGGACAAAGTACCACCTTTCTACTCCCTTCTGCATAGGAGGCATGGAGGCTGGAGTCTGCCAGAGGTTCTTGGTAATTTTTGCCACCGTCTTGTTCAATGGGAGGGCGATCTTAGTAGGGCCCTCTCCCATGATGATGTCAACCACCAGGTTTTCATCCTCTTTTACTTCCTCGGCTTGTACCCCCAGATTCTGGGCCAGCCTTCTGAGGAGGTTTTCGTGGGTCCTCGTGTCCATGGAGGGCATCAGGGGAGACGGGTCAGCCAAGGCCTCATCCGGAGATGAGGAAGACTCCCCCCTTGCCACCAGCATATCATGTGGGACCCCAGCCCCCAACTCCTGCTTCAAATGAGTCACTGATCCTGAGCAGGGGGCTGGACGACCTGCTTCGGGGGGGGGCACATGTTCCAAACCAACTCTGGGGGGCTAGCCCTGCACTTAGACTCTGCTCTCACCAGCAGGGTGGCAGAGGGGGATGACCTGCACCCTGAATACGAAAGCGGCGAGGAGGCCTTTGGCGAGGCCTCTGATACCTGAATACGAAGAGGCCCCAGTCAACCCTGACCTCGCTGAGTCCTGACCCTGGGCCTGGTGGTACGCCCACGGGGTCCAGAACAGCCACTGCGGAAAGGGTTGCCTCTGGGGACGCCAAGTCTGCACCTCTGGATGTCAGTCGGGGGCTCAAACGGTGCTGAGACCTGGATCGGTACCGAGGACTTGACCTGTGAGACCTGCTACAGTGCCTAGAGTGGGGCCTAGGAGAGGGACTCCACCTCAGATTCAGAGGAATACTCCGATGCCGACCAAGGCGGTGCTGCCGAGAGTTCCAGGTCCCTTTGGGTATGATGGGACATGGCCGTCAGCTTGTCTCAGTGCCTTGACGGTGCCAGAGGCAGCGTGGACGCAGAATCTGGTGCGGGCAGACTCAGAAGAAGAGCCACCTGTGACCTATCCCTCATCTGGTCCTGCGCCCCCAAGGGCGGTGCTGGCCAACCTGACTGGGCAGGCAGCACTAAGAATGACGAGGCTGAGGCCCAAGAGGCAGGAGAATGTAGTGCCGAGGGAGATGGCGGTGCTGCGGCGGGTGGTACCAAAACTGTCAGCGGAGCTGAGGCGAGCGGTGCCAAAGCAGGCAGCGATGGTGCCGGAGGTACCGAAGAGGGTTGAGTACCCTGTCTGTCATGACTGGACTGGGCGTCGGAGCCATGTGGTGCCAGACTGGGGGACGTCGTGAGCTCAATGAGTTCCTGTGCTGCCAGGAACGTCTCCGGCGTCAACAGTGGATGGACCTCCTCCACAGACAGGTCCAGAAAATCAAGACTGCTCTCCCTATGAAAGCTAGGTCCCCTGCGGTGCTGCTCCTGCACCAGAGATGGGGGGGCACCCTTCCTTATGGCGTGCATCCCTTCCTGAAGGCAACCTGCCTCTGCATGCTTTCTTGTGCGACAGTGGGCCCGGGATAGAGTGGTGCCGTGGAACCAGCCAGTGGTCCCGCACCGAGGAGTGCTTCTCCGGGTGCCCAGTCTCCCACACTGACCCCAGAGCACTCCATACCAATGGAGTGTCCGGTGCTGAGGGTTGGTGCGCTGACTCCATCAAAATCAATTTAAGACAGGAGTCACAGCATTTTAGTATGGCAGCGTTTCTCAAACTCACAAGCAACATAGAGGGGGGGTCGCAGGACAGTCTGGTCTTTTGGAGTTTTGAGACAGGCCGGTAAAAAAAATTGAGAAAATACCAGACATGTACAATGTCTGGTATTTTCTAGTTTTCCGGCTGGGTGCCTAACGGAAGCCTGGTGGGGGCAGGAGGAGTTGCTGGGAGGCGGGGCTGCGATCAGCGCTGAGAGCCTCTGGTTGTGTGACACACCTTGGGGATGAGGGA